GCCACGTCCACCACCAGGCCCTGGTGTGCCACGTTCACCACCGGATCCTGGTGTGCCACGTCCACCACCAGACCCTGGTGTGCCACGTCCACCACCAGGCCCTGGTGTGCCACGTCCACCACCGGATCCTGGTGGACCTTGCCCACCTCCAGATCCAGGTATTCCAGAGCCTGGCGATCCTTGCCCGTCACCAGACCCTGGCGGACCCTCCCCACCTCCATATCCTGGTCTTCCACTGCCTGGTGGGCCTTGTCCATCTCCAGATCCAGGCCTTCCAGAGCCTGGAGATCCTTGCCCGTCACCAGACCCTGGCGGACCCTCCCCACCTCCATATCCTGGTCTTCCACTACCTGGTGGGCCTTGTCCACCTCCAGATCCAGGTCTTCCAGACCCTGGTGTACCACGTCCAGCACCAGACCCTGGTGTGCCACGTCCGCCACCAGACCCTGGTGTGCCACGTCCGCCACCAGACCCTGGTGTGCCACGTCCACCACCAGACCCTGGTGTGCCACGTCCACCACCGGATCCTAGTGGGCCTTGCCCACCTCCAGATCCAGGTCTTCCAGAGCCTGGCGATCCTTGCCCGTCACCAGACCCTGGAGGACCCTCCCCACCTCCATATCCTGGTCTTCCACTACCTGGCGGACCTTGTCTACCTCCAGATCCAGGTCTTCCGGACCCTGGTGTGCCGCGTCCACCACCAGGCCCTGGTGTGCCACGTCCATCACCGGACCCTGGCGTGCCACGTCCACCTCCAGACCCTGGTGTGCCACGTCCGCCACCAGTTCCTGATGGGCCTTGTCCATCTCCAGATCCGGGTCTTCCAGAGCCTGGCGATCCTTGCCCGTCACCAGACCCTGGCGGACCCTCCCCACCTCCATATCCTGGTCTTCCACTACCTGGCGGACCTTGTCCACCTCCAGATCCAGGTCTTCCAGAGCCTGGTGTGCCACGTCCACCACCAGGCCCTGGTGTGCCACGTCCACCACCAGATCCTGGTGTGCCACGTCCACCACCAGGCCCTGGTGTGCCACGTCCACCACCGGACCCTGGTGTGCCACGACCACCACCAGACCCTGGTGTGCCACGTCCGCCACCAGATCCTGATGGGCCTTGTCCACCTCCAGAGCCAGGTCTTCCAGAGCCTGGCGGTCCTTGCCCGTCACCAGACCCTGGCGGACCCTCCCCACCTCCATATCCCGGTCTTCCAGTACCTGACGGACCTTGTCCACCTCCAGATCCAGGTCTTCCAGACCCTGGTGTGCCACGTCCACCACCAGGCCCTGGTGTTCCACGTCCACCACCAGATCCTGGTGTGCCACGTCCGCCACCGGACCCTGGTGTGCCACGTCCGCCACCGGATCCTGGTGGGCCTTGTCCACCTCCAGATCCAGGTCTTCCAGTGCCTGGTGATCCCTGCCCTTCACCAGACCCTGGCGGGCCCTGCCCACCACCAGATCCAGGTCTTCCACTGCCTGATGGGCCTTGTCCACCTCCAGATCCAGGTCTTCCAGAGCCTGGCGATCCTTGCCCGCCACCAGACCCTGGCGGGCCCTCCCCACCTCCATATCCTGGTCCAGGTCTTACAGACCCTGGTGATCCTTGCCCGCCACCGGACCCTGGTGTGCCGCGATCACTACCGGACCCTGGAGTGCCACGTCCACCACCAGGCCCTGGTGTACCACGTCCATCATCCGATCCTGCTGGTCCTTGTCTACCTCCAGATCCAGATGGACCTCGCCCACCACCAGCTCCCGGTCCATCAGATCCTGGTGAGCCTTGCACAGTGCCGAAACCCGGTGATCCGCGCCCGCCGCCAGATCCTATTCCACCAGGTCCTGGTGATCCTTGTCCTGCACCAGACCCTGATGGGCCACGGCCAGATCCTGGTCCACCTCTTCCACCACTCGGCTTTGGATACGCTCCGCCGGGAGAGCCTAGCTCTTCATCGCTGTCCCGAGGCACAGCGGTGGATGGCGAATCTGCGCTGGCTGTGCCCGAGCCGGGCTTGCCGGGACCCTCGGGACCATCTTCCTCGTAGACAGCGGTCCCCGGCGTGAACTCGGTGTCCGGCGGAAGGTAGCCGTAGCTGCTGTGGTCCCTTGAACGTGGCTTGTCACTTCCCGCGGCTGGGGAGCCAGGCTTGACGCCACTTTCTTCCTCTTCAGGTGCAGCTCCTCCTAGGCCCGGCCCGCCAGGCTCTCCTGCTGATGCTCCTGGGACTGACGCTTCTCCAGTACCTCGCAGGCCTGGTTTAATGCTGCCCTCAGGGCTTGTTCCTCCGAGTCCCGAGCCCGCTGGTTTCTGGCCTAATCCCACACCGCCGGGGGCACCTGCTCGATCTCCTGCTAGTGTTTTGATGGTGCCGATGACGGTTGGGCTGCCTCTTGGGCGAGCCGCTCCTGTCTCGTCGCCAGATGTCGCACCAGACGGCTGATCCGACGTCGGTTTCGGGAGCCCACCGCCAGGGGCGACAGAGACGCCATCTGGTCCCACGGACGTTGGCTCTGCATCGCCACCCGTCTGGGGGTCTCCTCTGCCGGTACTCTTACCTGGTTCTCCTGAGGTTGCCTTGACCGATGCACCTGTTCCGGTGCCCGCGCTTGCGCCACCCTTACCGCTTCCCTTTCCACGGGTGCCTGCGCCTGGGTACCCTTCACCGTCTCCCTCTCCACCGATGCCGGCGCCTGGGTATCCCTCACCGTCTCCCTCTCCACGGGTGCCTGCGCCTGGGTACCCTTCACCGTCTCCCTCTCCACCGATGCCGGCGCCTGGGTATCCCTCACCGTCTCCCTCTCCACCGATGCCGGCGCCTGGGTATCCCTCACCGTCTTCCTTTCCACGGGTGCCTGCGTCTGGGTACCCTTCACCGTCTCCCTTTCCACCGATGCCGGCGCCTGGGTATCCCTCACCGTCTCCCTCTCCACCGGGGCCTGCGCCTGGGTACCCCTCACCGTCTCCCTTTCCACCGGGGCCTGCGCCTGGGTACCCCCTCACCGTCTCCCTTTCCACCGATGCCGGCGCCTGGGTATCCCTCACCGTCTCCCTCTCCACCGGGGCCTGCGCCTGGGTACCCCTCACCGTCTCCCTTTCCACCGGGGCCTGCGCCTGGGTACCCCTCACCGTCTCCCTTTCCACCGATGCCGGCGCCTGGGTATCCCTCACCGTCTCCCTCTCCACCGGGGCCTGCGCCTGGGTACCCCTCACCGTCTCCCTCTCCACCGATGCCGGCGCCTGGGTATCCCTCACCGTCTCCCTCTCCACCGATGCCGGCGCCTGGGTATCCCTCACCGTCTCCCTTTCCATCGGTGCTTGCGCCCGGGTACCCCTCACCGTCTCCCTTTCCTCCGGGACCTGCGCCTGGGTACCCCTCGCTGTCTTCCTTTCCACCGGGGCCTGCGCCTGGGTACCCCTCACCGTCTCCCTTTCCACCGGTGCCTGCGCCTGCGTTTCCCTTCCCATCTCCTTTTCCGCCTGGTGCCGATCCCAGCCCTAGGTCCTGTGGCGGCGGGACGGGATCGGATGGCGAGGAGACCGTGCCCCTGGCGGTGCCGGGTTCGCCCGGTCCGCTCGGCCCCTCTCCCTCCTCTCCTAATAACTCGGGCGGGATGGGCGTGCCGTCTTCGTAGAAGCCGGGCGTGAAGGCGCCGTACGGCGGCAGGTAATCATCGCCCCAGCGACCCCCGCCCCGCCTACGGCCATTATCCCTGTTCGACCCGTCCTCGTCTGTCGCGTCGTCGTCGGCGAGGGAAGGATCGAGGGCGTCGGGATCGCCCTCGCCGCCGCTGCCGGTCGCCGTAGCTGCGCCTGGGTACCCCTCACCGTCTTCCTTTCCACCAGTGCCTGCGCCTGGGTACCCCTCACCGTCTCCCCTTCCACCGGTGCCTGCGCCTGGGTACCCCTCACCGTCTCCCTCTCCACCGGGGCCTGCGCCAGGGTACCCCTCACCGTCTCCCCTTCCACCGGTGCCTGCGCCTGGGTACCCCTCGCTGTCTTCCTTTCCACCGGGGCCTGTGCCTGGGTACCCCTCACCGTCTCCCTTTCCACCGGTGCCTGCGCCTGCGTTTCCCTTCCCATCTCCTTTTCCGCCTGGTGCCGATCCCAGCCCTAGGTCCTGCGGCGGCGGGACGGGATCGGATGGCGAGGAGACCGTGCCCCTGGCGGTGCCGGGTGCGCCTGGTCCGCTCGGCCCCTCTCCCTCCTCTCCTAATAACTCGGGCGGGATGGGCGTGCCGTCTTCGTAGAAGCCGGGCGTGAAGGCGCCGTACGGCGGCAGGTAATCATCGCCCCAGCGACCCCCGCCCCGCCTACGGCCATTACCCCCTTTCGACCCGTCCTCGTCTGTCGCGTCGTCGTCGGCGAGGGAAGGATCGAGGGCGTCGGGATCGCCCTCGCCGCCGCTGCCGGTCGCCGCAGCTGCGCCGCCAGCTAAAAGAACGTGCAAGGTCACGACATGCTCGCGGTGCTAAAACGTGGGCAGTGCATACCAAGATCACACATGCTGTGCTCATGCATCAGTAGAAATGGACAGGTGTAGCAAAGATCCACGTGCTTGTAGGAGATAATGTTAGGTGCATCATTAGATCAGAGATCAGAAACGTCCTATTCGGACGCAAAAATCCCGGATGTTCTCTCACGATTCGTTTCTGTTATTCGTGACTAATAACAAAGTAGTAAGAAAAGGAGAAACCGATGATGCATACTCCATGGGTTCCATTTCAAGATGCCAGAGAATTATGTGCACTGCAGCCAGTCGGTGAGAGATGTCACGTGCATATCCATGCAAGATGCAGCCGCTATGCATACACCGTCGTACCTGTGTCTGCTCTCAGCTCAACGCCTGTCATCAAACCCGCCCCCTCTGACATCATGTGTTTCTACCCCAAGCTACCATGCAGGTCAGGTTTGCCCTCCGGCGAGTCTCACCGCCCCCGCTTCCGCAGCCAGCAGCAAGCAAGTGGCCGACCACCGATCGGCGGGACCCGCCCCACGAGACTCACGTATAGCCGTGCAGGAGGGCTTGCCCTCGCGGTCTTCGGTGCACCGGAAGCCAACACGACACTTGATGGTGTCGCAGTCGGGCGCGCGCGGCCTGCGGCACACGCTGGCGCAGCCGTTGGAGCAGCACTTGGAATCGTTAAGGCACTGCGAGTCGTACTGGCACGAGCTCCTGCAGCCGCCGCGGGGCAGCGTGTCGCTGGAGACCCTCGGGCAGAGGCCAGGCTTCTCGGCTGGGGACGGAAGGCCTGGTCAAGCGCCACTCAAACAGGCGGCGAACGTGTCTGGCTGCAAGAGGTGCGAGACAGGGTGCACTCTATGATCTTAATTTGGCTATCACAAGCCCACAGTTGCAGTGTTTAGTGTCGTCGGCAGAGGGGCCGGAGAGCCAGAGAACCAGTCAGAGTTGGCAGCGTATTAAATCGACTAGTGACCCGTGGGAGCTGCAGCGTCCCCGTACCGACTGTCCACAGCCCCTCCTCTGCTCGTGCATAAACCCCGAACACGTGCAATCAGGGGTAAGGAAGGAAAAGTGCCGTACACGTACGGCCAGAATTCATCAGATTAATTGCCAGCAGTGAAGTATTATCAGCGCGAAACCGCGACGCCATCGTCTATTCCGTTCGTGACTTAACCGTGTGATGAGCACGGTTGTTTTGAACAGCAAAGAGACGTCAGGACTGGTTTGTGAAGTAAACCCCCATTATCATAACAAGGGTAGATGAACGGTGAAAATGCCAACTACGATCGAACGGCTGCCATCAGGAATCCTTTCTCAGAACAAAAATGTGGTCAGCACGATTTGATGAACGCATGAACGTCTGATAAACGCAGTAGGATAACTTTGATAAACTTTCTCGCGATGCATCCAAAGAGCTGCACACCGTCGGCCCTTGTTGTCCTGGTCTCCAGAAGGTCTCCAGAACGTCACGCGCCCCCACTGACCCGTCGATAAGCACTGGGCGTCGCCGGCGATGCTGCCGACGCACGCGGTGCCCTCGGAGCAGGTCAGGTCGGCGCAGAGCTTGCGCAGGTCGGCCGGCATGCAGCGGTTGCCGCAGCCGTCGGCATTGCAGCACCTGAGTCCCTCCGGACACTGCTCGTCGTACTCGCACTGGTCGCTGCTGTCCGCCGGACAGCGCACCCTGGGGGCCACCACCGGACAGCGGCCCGGCCGCGGCGCTGCGCACAGAGCAGGCGGCAGTCAGGTCAACAGCGCACAGCGGCCCGGCCGCGGCGCTGTGCACAGAGCAGGCGGCCGTCAGGTCAGCAGCGCACAGCGGCCCGGCCGCGGCGCTGTGCACAGAGCAGGCGGCCGTCAGGTCAGCAACGCACAGCGGCCCGGCCGCGGCGCTGTGCACAGAGCAGGTGGCCGTCAGGTCAGCAGCGCACAGCGGCGCCACCATACCAGCTGGTTGCTTATAATCACGTGAATGCCTCTACATCTCGCAAAGCCGTGTGACCCAACTTCTTCTCTTGAGTTCACGTGAGATGCACACATGGCCTATAATGCGGCATGGATAACCAAACGGATTGGCCCTAGTCATGGCAGCCCAGGACTCCTTACCTGTGCTAACGCACTGCGCGTCACTGACGCCGTCGTCGACGCAGGAGTATCCCTCCTCGCAGTCACGGTCCTCGCAGCGTTTACGCAGGTCGGGCGGTGCGCAGACGCTCGCGCAGCCGTTGTTGCAGCACCGCTCGTCACCGGAGCACTGGAAGTCGTACACGCACTGGTCCTCGCAGCTGCGGGTCCGCGGGTTCCAGAAGTCCGCCGCCGGGCACCGACCGTCCTTCTGGGCTGGAGAGCAGAGGTCACTGAGGTCAGACGGTGCGGTGAAGGGTCAAAGAGGTCAGAAGGAACGGTTGTCTGGCTGCTGGGGTGTGGCGACAGGGTGTAGAAGTTGAGGAGAGATGCACTCAGTCCTGTGTGTTCGGGACTTCATGGCAAACATTCCGAATAGCTGACCGGAGAACACAAGTGGGAATTCGTATAGAAGAACACAAGTGGACGGTCGTAAGCTTACGACAACCAGGAATAGAGGTGAAGCTTCGTCAACTTCGGTACAATTTCGATAACCACATGTTTTGCTGTTCATTTTTTCGGCCTCAAGCAGCTTGGTGGGTCATTCGGGTTCACCAGTGAAGAGCCACGACGAACATTCAGAGACGAACGCCCGTGAAGCAGAAGAAGTGACGATTATGTTGACCTGCGAGGCGTGGCCTAGGCTCGCGACCGTATTCGCCGCGCTCATTTATTATCGCGGTTGGTGGCTCGTGGCCCGCCAAGAACCAAAGGTGATATGCTGGTCATTGGCATTACAGAGCAAGCGCCGCAATTGCTCTGCGTCAGCAAGCCTTTGTTATCATTTGCAACATCCGCATGCAGTCATTGAACAGAATAAACTCGTGAAGGCTGTAAGATCTCACAGAGAACATGACGTCACAGCAATACTAATCGATAGGCAAGAAGCCCGAAAAACGTCGTGATCAGCCACTGATAAAGCACGCCTTTCACCTGTTTGACGGCAGTCTGAATCTGCAGCAACGATCTGCAGTGGTCTGCAGCGAAATAACTGAATCGTTGCATATTTTGCAACACTCCGGTACTGCGTCAGTGCAGCACAAGCAATGTATGTCTATCAACTCACGTCCTGATAGGGGCGAGGGCATAATTTTTTATGCAACCACTTTGAGGTTTTTGAGGATACCTCTCCAGCGTATTAGAAATTTCGCTCAAGTTTTCACTAGGCTATGGATGTTCATTACGCGTGTTTTCCCACCAAAAGTGTTTCTAGCTTTTCTGGCTCCCGAGCAACAGCGTTTTTTTAGGAACACTGCACGGCAATCTAAGGCCGCCGCGGGCGGCGGGCGGCAGCGCGGGCAGCGGGCGGCAGCGAACGATGCCGCGGAATGCGTGCGGCGGGCCGACATTGTTGCATGAACACGCGCACGGGTGGGCGGGGTCAAATTGACCCCTCCCCCCAAGGTTTTTCCAGAATGATCTCGGAAGGGCGCGTCGTAGTCGCACCAAATTTGCAATAGCTGTAGAGAATTGAATAGCAGATCTTTTGATGCGAAAAATTTGGTGTGTATTTCAAGGTTGCTAACCTATGGCAGGGGATGGGAATTTTCTAGGGAATGGTGCAATGCGATGCAACAATGGAGTGTTAGATGAAGTCACACACATGTAAAATAGTTTCTTAAGCAGAAAATCAATGACACCTAGAATTACAACCACTTCAAATTGACCTAGGGGCAGGTATGAAGGTCAGAACAAGGTCAAAGCTAACCCGCTTTTCACTCGAGAGCTCGGTTTTATGGGGTAGTTTCTGGCGCTCATTTCAAAATTATGCATGACAAGAACCGCAATATATGGGCTTTTTAAAGATCGGAGAAGGTCACTGACAAAAATGACGCAGGTCAACATTTTATTTTTAGGAACAGATCACCCGGCGTAATCCCCGACCTTTATTCGAATGGCAAAATAGGAACAATCTCAAAGGCACTTGGTCACCTTGGCCTTATGAAGGTTAAACAAGGTCACTTAACTCATTGACCTTTTGCTTAGAACAGATACCTGGCTTCACGGCGTTACGTGAGGAGTGTTTCAGGGCATTTGAGAGGCCAGTCTGGAGTTTGACATTGCTTGACCTTATTGGACCCCAAGCTCATATTCTAGAAACCTCAAACTTTGATGCAAGGGATTTTACGCACAGGGTAATCTGCAATGCGAATGTGGTGTCTTTAGTTATCTTAGTTTCCGAGATCTCAGGGGGTCCAGTTGACCCTCGCCCATCCGACCGAAGGATATTCAGCCGGCCACCCCGGCGCGTGTAAATGGAGCCATGTATCGTAAAGGTATGCTAAAAACACACAAATATATGCAGTTATACTGATAATTAAATAAGAAACACACCTGGCTAAATTTCATCTCACCATAAGTTATGGTCTCCTTGGTACGATGTTGTAAAGCTGAAAAAGTGTGATTTTGGGGAAATATTGACCTTTGACCTGCCATGATGGGATCAATTACCGACCTAACAATAAATAACTAGTACGAAAGACGACATTTTTGTACCAATCGAGATCTCTTCTGAGATCAATCCACTGATGTTTTCTGCTAACCCCTTCCTGTATTACGTTGGAAACGCCAGAAACCGCATTAACCGTCTCCGCCTATCAACCCGCGTTATGAAAAGCGCCGAATCAGGGCGAGGGTCAGGGAGCGTGGAGGGAAAAATGGGTCAGCAAGACTGAGTGAAGGATATGTGTACCGACGCCGGTATTCCACAGTATTATTTGATTAGGATGAATAGGGAACATGTTGCATACATAAGGGACCCAAAACTATTTCATAACGTGAAAGCGCGGCCAAACATGAAGAACATCCTCTACAAACGCTGAAACAACGAAGATCTGCACACCTCAGTATCCGCACTTACTAGTATTGACACAGAAGGCATCCTTCAGCTTGTCCTTATCGAGGCAGGCGTAGCCGTCCGGACAGTTAACGTCGTCGCACGACTTCCTGAAGTCGGGATCGAGGCAGGCGTTGGCGCAGCCGTTGTTGCAGCAGCGCTGCTGTTTGGGACACTCGGAGTCATACTTGCACGTGTCCTTGCAGTCGCCCCGGTACGAGCCCGGCTGGATGGCCGGACACTTGCCGGCCTTGACCTCTGCGGAGGGGGGGGGGGTGGAGTCAGACAGGGGGTCGGTGAGGGGGGTCGCGTTGGACGGGTAAATCAATGGGGAGGGGCGTAGTTCATACGGGGGGTCGGTGGGGAGGGGAGGAGTCACACAGGGGTCAGTGCGGGGGCCGAGTTAGATGGGGAGATCAGTGAGAAGGGGAAGAGTCACACAGGCGGTCGGTGAGGAGGGCCGCAGTCAGATGGAGAGACCAGTGGGGAGGGCCGGAGTCAGACGGGGTGATCAGTGGGGAGGGGATGATGGTCGGAACAGGAGATCGGTGGGGAGGGGTGGGAGCATTAACATGGAGGAAGAAACAGTCTCCTTTCGTCGTAGCTGCCAATAAAAGAAATGGCAGAAATATTCTAATAGTATAAGAAGTCTTTCACTACTACTTATCACAGGCTACATTTGAACATTCCAGCTACTTCACTAGCTGCCATTCTACTACAGTAAGGCGATGTCCTTCCAGCTGTCCATCCACTGGAATTCTAAATGGGCGTCATCATGCGCGTGGAATAGTTGACTTTTAGCTGTAGAGGCAACCTTCGCATTTGCCAGCTACAACTCTGGGCTCTGTAAGGATGTTGTCGTAATGAGGAAAACAGTGTAAATTTCGCTTTCAAATGTGCTAGCTGAATACTCAAGGTCCAGCGTAGCCCAGTGCCGACAGTTGCATGCCTTCCAAGGCCATGTGAAACGGTCTCTAGCTTACAGCCTAAATCACCCAAGGTGTCCAAAAGCACGATGAATCATCGATGTAGGAATGCAAAGCGTCATTGTTCTGTCGATCGAACGCTGCAGTATGCTACTTCTTTGTTTCTGTTCTCGAGATTCTCGTGAATAAACGGTGCGTGCGAATGCACGATTATCCCACGGTTGTGCCGTTGCGAACAATGCAAATGTTGTCACGCAGGTTCTGCTAACTTCAACGGGCAGGACTGGAAAGGAACTTCCTGAGCTGGAATAATAGCCATCCATTTCTCAAATACCGATGTCATCCTTAGCGTAAACAATGTTTAGACAGACACCTTGGATAACACAGCTCCTGTGACACAACAATGGGCTCGGCGCAAAGGCATGCGCTCAGTTATACAACACGCCGTGTCTCCTTTTACGTGACATGTTATATGTCAGCCGTGTTCATCGGGGGGTTTCTGAGGCCTAATAATTTACATAACTTGGCTATGGCTAAGGCTATGGCTTACAGGAAGCGTAAATTCAGATGGCCGACTCGTTCAGTAACGTTGCGTCGTTGGTAGAGACCCCTTTAACAGCATGACGAGCGAGGTAATGACAAATGGCGCTCTAATCGTGAGATGAATGATGAGGATTAGGTCTCGAATGATGTACATGATACGAAAACTCAAACTTCATGAGGCAGGTGTTTTTCTGAGCCCATAACAATGGGTTTATGCATGCATTGGAAAGTTAGTCTTCGTGGCACCCTGGTAGGCAAATGGGCTCACTATTGTTGTCTTAATACGTAAATCACATCGGCTGATTTATTTTTCCCTTGTCTGTGACCAAACAACCACAAAACTGATACGCTTTTCGTGGGTATTAGTCACAGTGGGTTGGGCTGTTTTCCTGTGTGGTTTTCATGGATCAGACAAATATCCTTCGTTTTAGACCCCAGCGTACAGTATTTGGTAAAACTTAGAAGGCGCTGTTGTCTGCCTCCCGGCTGACCACTTGTTGCTCTACGTAAGGTGTTGAGCTGGAAACGTAGCGTGTATCCCCTGCCCTCACCCACACCGCGCAATCATTTTCAGGCATTTACCTGCACTAACTGGAAAGATCCAACCCAAACCAATTGCCCACACTGGTAGATATGTGGTAGATATTCGGGTTGCGTTGCCGCCTGCCAGCTAAATGCGCAAGCGCGCAGGTTTGTACCAAGTCACGTTATCTCCCCTGTTAAATCGTGTTGGTCTAGTGTTACTGCGACTCCGGATTTCCAAGGTCTAGACATTGTACACTATACACCAAGGTTCCGACACTCGCATGTTACATTTGTAACTGGAACTTTTTGCTTGTTAGGCTTGTAGCTACACTTGTGCACATGTAGCACTTTTCTGCAAAGTTTTACAAGACTGTAAGTTGTATGTTCCCCCATATCAAAAGAATGTATGTGGTCATAAGCAGCGTTACAGGGAAATGCGCTTGACCAAATAGGTAAAATGCATAAGCGCGTCTCGAAACAATTCAGCACAACTTGTCAATCATTTTGCTACTTGCCGTGCAAAACTGTGCGGCGGTGAAGTCAGAAATTTCGAAGAAATAGGCCTCTCAAAATTTAGTCCAGCTGTACCGAGCAGGGTCAGGGATAACTGGACCGCGCCAGGATGGGCTGGCTCAAGTCAGGTCAGGTCGGATCAAGTCGGACCGATTCCCTGGAGTAACGAAGGTGCCAGTTGGCTGACTCCGAGACCCGTTTGGCCTATGCTGTATTGGTCGTTATAAATATTTTGCACAGTAAGCATTGCTGGCGTCATCATACAGTTCCAAAATTTATAGCTGTCATTTAAAACCACTGGTAAGACGCATGCTTTTGCAGGTGGGCAATACGAGTTACGAAGACATACATAAGTGGCAGATGCTTTCACTCATAGTGACTGATTGCATTCGTGAGAAAGACACCCGGAACCAAGACATGAGATGTTCTACTCGCCGAAGGATCTTGCCCCACCGCCGCAACCCCAGTACAGCTTCCGTCACTGCTTGCCTCGCCAGCTACGGCTTACAGCGTGGATTAGGCAGCGGGGGTAACCAGCTGGAGCTACAGCTTGTGCCAAATTGTGTAGATGTTGTGCTAACGCATTCATTGTTACTGTGAATATACTTTATGGTACGGTGATGTTCGCAAATGATGCCTGCAGGGTTTCGCACTGAAAAAATGCCATCGAAAATAAAGGTTCATTCGTCGTAATACCCGTCAATTTTTACATTCCAGTCGTCGTAGACATTTCCAAAGTTTAGGAAATAAGTTGAGCTGGCAGGCACCGTTCGCACAAACGCAAGCAAAATGTACCAGCAGGTGAGGTCACGTGCATTAACACCTGATGGGTTCGCCTTCAGCGGCAAATCGTTTGACGTTATAGCCAAGACACACATAAGTAGATTGACGAGAGATATATAGGTGAACGCAAGCTGCTGAAAGAATTCTACACAGCGCTAATATGCTGGTCCCCGGCTCTGCACAGTGCTCGCCGGTGCAGTGTTCCTGATCAACACTGCCTCCCAGCGCCTGCAGACTTCTTTTTCTGCATTGGGAACGAGTAACGGGTTTAGATACCAGTTGGCCTTATGTCACAGCTAGTTGTAGCGTTCCGTTCAGGGGTGTCGATTTGTGCTGTTTTGTGAGTATCTTTGTTGAGCTTGGCCTACCAAATATTGGCTTACCCTTCCCCCTCAACCCCGCCTCAATCTGTTCGGCTTGATTCTTACCAGAAAGAGAAAACAGGAAAATTCAATGCAACAAAAATCCTATCATTTTAGGTATTTCTTGCTGCCAATCACTACCATACTTTTCAACTATGGGACTAGTTCCTAGATTTTTAAAGATTTTGTTTATTGAAACAAATATCCTAGAAAGCATAGAGTCAGCTCCTTTGAAAATTGCATATTCACGGCACGCATCTTTTGTCGGAGCCTCGCATCCCTCGCCCCCTTCCCCCCCCCCGCCCCCTCTCCCCAATCAGTAAAAGAATTATGCCCTCGCTTCCCTAAAACAATATTTAGGGGCGCAGTTTTGTAAGTGCGTCGTCAGCCTGCTGCTCAGAGTTGCAGTTGTGTGACCCACTGCAGCGGCCCGTACGGGCTGCTTACGTCCCGCACTTAGGTAAGCCTGTTTACTACATTGAGTTGTTTCCCGGTGGGGTGGAGTCAAAGTGGCAATTTGCACGGGTCCTGACGAGAGAAGAAGCGGAATGGATTTTGTACTGTGCGATGAATCCGAGCTGCTGGGATCGTCCAAAAATTTGCGGTGTTTTTTGTCATTCTGAACTCCGCTCCTGGGTACGCGTTGCTCACGTTGGGTAAAATTTCCGATGGTTGCGCTGCTTTAAGCGCGAAGTCCCGAAAACATAATGTCCGTTTCGCGCTTAGCTGAACTAGAGGTGCGAAACAAAGACCAGAGGAAATGTGGTATGAGATAAAGCCAAAGGTATCCGGCTTTAAGGTTTTAAAGCATTTTCAAAAGTTACATATGGTGTGCAACCCTCCTCCCTCCCCTACTTTAAGCACAACATTATTTTCTCCGCTCCCACACACCCTTGTGTGTGGAAGCGGAGACCTCCTGGCCTTCCCCGTTGTTATGCATCGGTTGCACTCCATCATTATTACAACCATCATTTCGCCTCTGAGCACATAATATATGGATGATCCCGTTCCTGGTTTGTTGAGTGTTTCAAACTCCGGTGGACAGACTTTTAGCCTTTTGATGGCCTGTTCATCTTGTTTCTACGTGGATAACATAGGCATAGAATCAAGCAAATACGATAAAACAAGCAAGGGGACTGGCTAACATCACCATGACATAACCAGGGCAAATTGACCATGACTATCCATAACCATAACCATAACCATCAGAAAATCGAATGGCAGCGCCGAAACTCGGCTTTTATAGCAGAACAGACCATGACACCGGCATGAAAGCAAGACGAACGGACCATCAAGAAGGTAATTCGCCAAAACTACAAACTATTAAGAAAGCGAGAATAGCTTTGCTTCACCACGTGCTACAAAAACATTTTCGCTTCTCCCTTCGTCATCAGAATCATCTAAATTGCAACGATGATCTCAGAAGCAAGTAAGTGAAGCCCACAAGTATATCTGTCAGTACGGAAACTGTGCAGCACGTAGAGTACAATTCAATGGGTCCCACAACCGCAACCCCGAGTAGGAGACTTACTAAGTGCCTGCAAACGGCGCTGCTTGGGCTCCTTCAGGCCTGCCGGTGCGTCATACTGTAATTCTCACCAGATGC